TTTTTTTTTTTTGTGGGAGAGAGAGCATGTATCCTAAAAATCTGGGTTATAAGGACCTTTTATATATTTTCACCTACATCTACATTTAATAATTGATGACGCTTTCGCAACCAGTCAATATAAATTAACAAAAGGATAAAAAATAAAGTATACTAAATAAATAAATAAATAAATAAATAAATAAATAAGTAAATAAATATTGAAAATGAGTAAATTGATCGTGAAACGCTGTAAAAACTAATGACATAATTATAAATGTGGAAAATGAATAAATTAATTGTAAATACAAATTAATCATTTCTAATTAATGAGACACAATGATCTTGAGAATTCCAGTCTGGGAGCTATAAAAATAATTATCATCATTGCAACTTGCTGGTATAAAGGAGAATTTAGAAAATGATCGATCAATACATTGTTTGGGTAAAAATTAATCAGGTATTGGCAGTGCAATTGAGTTGCCAACTGCTGATTGAAATACATTCAATCTATGATTTTTACATCTAACAATTAAAGGATCTAGATCTAGTGACTCTAACATTCCTGTAACAGAGTTTCTACTGTAGTCCCTTTTGATGAACCTAGCTGCACGTTGCTGAACTGCTTCAATCGCATCAATCTGATCTTGCTGTTAGGGATCCCATGCAGCTGTGGCATACTCCAGATTCGGTCTGATGATGGTAACATATGCAGAACGCTTTGTACTCTTAGAACAAGGATATAGGTCACGTTTAACAAAGCCAAGTGACTTGTTAGCCTTAATCACAATATTACTAACATGAGAGTTCCATCTTAAATCACTGGTTAGCATACTTCCCAGGTAGGGATGGCTTGTCACCAGGGACATCTTCTGAACATCAGTAAAGTAGCCTGTCAATACAGATTCTTTCTTCTGTGATAACCTCATTGTGTGGCATTTGGTCACATTAAACTGCATTTGCCATGTCTTGGCCCAAGAAGTTAACTTCTCGATTTCATTTTGTAAGATAGTAGTCCTTCATTACCACCTTGCTGGTGTGGTAACCTCAAGTGACCTGCCACTGAATGTGATTAATCCTTGGTTTAAATCAGGATAATGCTCTCGTTTACTTAATGACAACTTTGCTGTTGAGTTTTATTTGCAAAATTAAAATGCTGCAGCAAGGGCTTTCTTTCCTGATGTATTATGTATTCTTCTAATCTGTAAGTTTCATTTTGATGTATGCTTTAATTATCATCTGTAAGGACCAGTTTATAGTTTGTGACAATATTTTATAATACGTAATTATTTGATTGTTCTTAGATATGAAAATTTTTTTTTTAAATTTCAATTGTTAATATTAGAGGAGGATGTGGGACTTTGCATTGTTGATTGTTTTCTGCCGCTGTGACGCGGTGAATAAAATCCCACCTTGTGGTGTTGAGGTGATGTCAAACCCTACAGGGTGCGATGGTTGTGTTTATCACCCTATGGTGTTCTGTGAAATGAAATTATTTGCAGTGCTGTGGTTTCTTGTTTAACCTCTCTCAGACCAAAGATCAAAGAAACTGAACTACGTAGTTTATTTCTGTGAAAATACCAGTTTCTGTCAGGATGTCTGACTTCCTGGAAACATTGTTATGTCAAGTCATGAGGCTAAAAACATATGTTGTGGTGACAGTGTTTTGTTGTTTTCTCTTGCGGTGATGCCGTGGTTGTTAATTTTTTGCGGCGTTGTGGTGGTCAGAGCCTGCCCATGCCCCCTCATATTATTATTTGTATGTAAAGTGTATAGTGGTTAAAACTGACCTGCCAACATATCTGCTGCCTGATATAACAGTAGCAGTTGACTACTATGTATGCTGATGCTGTGGTTCAATTTAAACCTTCATACAATATTGAAATTTTCTTTTGTATGGGTCAGTGAATGTTAATACATATGAAAATGTATATAAAACAAAGGAAAATACTAAATTATAGCAGAGCTCTGGTGGCCCAAAGGTCCGCCAAGCGGAGCACCATAACTATAGGAACAGGATCACATGCATGCATAGAAATAGAAAACCATGCAACTCTTTCTTCATGGTTAACGTGGCTAGCGGCATAGATCACGGGCGTGTGCGCCCAACGACGCCAACAACATCTTGCAACATGGCAGCCATACCCCAGCTAATACCAAGTCATGCAGTCTTGGCTTAAAGCTTATACCTGATATTTTGACACCTGTCAAAACAAGGTATCCGCTGACCAGTATCACGTGACCATATCGTAGGCTCAGGTTTAAAGATCATCAAGGTCTTGTGTTCTTTTAAAGTTGACCACTGACTAAGTGGTGGTTTTCAATTAGATCGTGGGCTCATGTTAGGTTAATTTGTTGTAATCAGGGCCGGGTTGTTTGAAAGCCAGTTAACGTTAACCCAGGATTAACAGTTAACTGAAGTGTAAATCTTTCTTCTATGCAAATATTTTCTCTGCTTTTGGGTCATGGGCTCCTGGTGTAGTTTGAGATTATTCAAAATCAAAACATGAGGCCAAACAATGTAAACAGAAAACCTCACTGCAAAGTTACAAAATTAAAATTAAAATTCTGATCTACCCCGGGGTAGCTAAACTGGGTTTTGAACAACCCGGCCCAGGAGCTCTGCTTTTAGGCTTGCCTAAATCTATATATTATCAATGGTAATACTGAACCACAGCAAGTCAAGGTATTTAAATATACATCTTAGGAGATATAAGCAATATTGATGTAAAACCAGTAGAAACTTTGTTCATTAATCTACATTTGTACCAGGTGGCAGCTAAAAGGTGTGGAAAAGTGTTCACAAAGCCTGACAATCAGCAACTAAGGAAAAACAAGCAAGGTGGCAGAATGAGACAAGCACAGATTGAACAAAAGGAAAGCTCAGAGCAAAAGGATGAAGCTCTTACTGACAGGGAGAGAGAAGATGTAATGGTGAAGTGGGCAGTTACTGGCTTTAAACCAAGTGGTCCTAAAGGCTTTGCACCAACTGAAGGTATGTAGAATAGATTTGACCTATATGTATTAATGTTATATCATGGAATCATGATTTCTAGAACCCTGAATTAACTGAAAGTCCTGATAACTTAAACGAAAAATTCAGTAACTCTGGCTTTGAAAATTTTTAAAACTAAAACTTCCAGACATGTTCTGTTCTCTATTTTAATGGTTCACTTTTTTTTCATAACCCCCTGGGGGTAACGAGCCAGACCCTCTTCCTGTCATGCCACATGGTCAAGTATCCAATGGTTTCTCTCTGCAAATTTCTGTTACATATATAAACTATGTTTGTTTGTAAATAAAGATCTGCTGCAACAAAAAAGCTGCTGCAGCAGTGTTTCTATGAACATGTGCCCGCAGCTGGTTGTTTGGGATGAAGCAATACCTCTGCAGTTGGCATTTCTGAACCATTTTTGGCTTGAGAAATCAGAATTCCAGTGTACCTATTTCACTGTGACTGTTACTGGATGAGTCCTGTTAATTATTTGTTTACGAGTATGAAAAATGTTGGTTAGTTACATAGCAGGAAGTGTACACTACTCTGTAATTAATGATTGCCAAACAAAGAATATAAACTAGTAGCAATCAAACATCATGAGTGCGTTTGACATGGTCACTTTCATATATATACCTTAAATGATTTAACTAGCTGACTTTCAACCTCTGTGTATTGCTAAAATCAACATTTTTCATGAACAACTGAGGTTTTACACAGACAGATATATCATAGTGTCAAAGTCCATGCCAGTAAAGAGGTCCCTTATATAGACTACGATGGCCGATTTGTTGTTCAAAACGTTGCGTACTGGCGCTAGTCTCCGTAGACTCGTAAAAATAGTAGGCCTTCAAAATTTCATGTTTTGAGGTAAACTCAGCATGAATTCAAAACGTAAACAAAAGATCAAGCTTAAACTCTGGCCTGTAAGCAATTTTAAAGCTCCCATTCAATTTGCATTCATGAAAATCTTCTCATTTGCCCAAAGGCAAATTCAGTTTGGTTTGCGGAATTTTGTAATTCAGGCTCTGCGGCTATGCCAAGTTTTGTTTGTTATTTTGAATTTACTTTCAATGACCTGGGACTGAAGGGGACCAGAACAACATAATCATTTACATTCATGTAAAATAAATAAACTGTTATTCACTAATAAGCCGTTTAACTAGGTGAACAGTCTTTCTAGGTGTTTGTTTACATACCAACATTCTCTAGTTAAATGTGCGGCTTCTGTTTCCATTCATTTAACCTGCTATAACGAGCTAGACAACTCGGTAAGATGGTTCTATAACCATGAATCATGGCCATTTGCTGAGCTACACAACTCGGTAAGTTAAAGTAATGTACTTTGCGCACAGAAATCAAAGCCAGCAAAGTGAAACAACACATTTCCTCCATCGATTTATTCCTCACAAAGCAGTGTTGGTTTTTGGTCGAAGTCAAGATGGTAGACAACAGGCAGCCAAACCGTACCTTTGTGTTTGTCCCAAAAGTCGTACACATTTCGTGAAGACATCGATAAGTCTTAGCGATAAGGTCATTTAACGCCATAACTCTAACTTCAAACTTTAAATATGCAACCTGCCGGTAACAGCAGATAAACACATGGAGACGCAACGAGTACATGGAGACGCGACAAGCATGGACATGACGTCATTAGCCCCTGAATAATTTTTTTTGGGGGCCAAGTTAGTGTCCCCCAAGAGATAGATAGACAGACAGATAGATAGCTAGATAGATGGATTCACGGGGCTTGAATTGTTATTGATTACGCGATTAGAACTACGTTCTGTCGAAAGCAATAAATATTTAAAATATTGCAGAAATGCCATACCCCCAAAAATTCTTTCAGATGCCTGCATTAATTTACAATGATTTTTACTTACAGCTGAATTATTTTCAATTTCACTTATTTTCTCGTAAGTGTGTCAAGTTCAGGCTGCTCTCTTTAAGAATAGATACAGGTCGAGAATTAATTTATAATTAATGCTGTTTGTTTAATCAATAACTTGCAGCAGACGTGATGCACAGACCAGCAGACACTGTAACCGAAGTGGACCTGACATCAGAGACAATGCCTTTAACTTCTGATCATAAGACAAGGTTTGGCAAACCAGTCAGTGAACCAAATCTGGCAGAAGATATTAAAGGTAAAGTTTTCTGTACATAATAATTGTGTTATCATTACTACAATTAATCTGCTATGTACAGTAGTAACCATGTTTTTCAGTGTGCAAATGTCAGATGTCGGACCAGATCAACGCGGACCACCATTCTGGGTCAGAACAACTTGGTTCAACTCAGATCAACATGGATCATAAAAAAATAAATAAAATTTAAGGAAATTGAAACACCAATTCATCTAGGATCAAAATAACTTCCTTGTGCATGAAAGGATTAAAATCTCCCCCCCACCTCAAAGTCACGTGGTTTGTCCCTAGGGTGGGGAGTATCAAAGAGTCATTCCAATCCAAGAGGAACTGGCGCTAAAAATACAAAATGGTGGTTTGGCAGTCCGACTTTTGTACCTGCCTATTGCAAATCAGCAATAACTTCTTTGTTTAATATGGTTTTCATCTCTAGGTCATTATACTAGACAGTGGCCTTTTTATTTTCTGTTTCGGCAAGATCGTTCAGTGTATCTAGACTCAAACTTAATGTTCTATCACCCATAGTTTCAGTTTTATTATTTTTTTTTGGGGGGGGGGGGTATTAGTCAATCTTATTCCAGCAACCATCCTACAGCATAGCTGACAGTTGCACCAAGCACACCTTAATGACCATGTTTGAAATATCAAGATATAATTTCAATATTTGTATTTTTAGCGCTATTTGATGCTGTAAGAACTGGTGAAAGGAAAGTAGAAGGTAACAGAGTTTGATTTAATTCAGTAGAAACAATAATGATGACTTGGTATTTAGTTTCTCTTTAATGTCAGAATCATTTTTAGATTATCTTTTGAAGATTTTATTATTTTTGTACCTCAACCATCTCATAAGAGTAAATAACACAATCTCATCCAGCTAGCCTGCAACTGCGCAAATCTTTATTTAGTTGTTGGAAGGTCTTTACATTTATATATTAACTGCTAAAAACAAGAATTACTACTATTACAAAATAGTAATAATGTAAAGGAAGTGTATAAAGAAGCCATTAAAGGCTTACATGTGAGTAGGCTTCCCTAACCAAGCAGACTATTGTTCTGGCTGCAGGGCTCAAAATAACGGCCGGTCAACAGACAACGTCTGACCAGAATGGTGACTTGACCGGCCAAAAACTTCACTCACCGGTAATGTTGACCGGTCACATCATGTTGAGACGGTCGTGTGGTTCATTCTTGAATAAAAAATCAAATCTTCAACTGTAAATCTTAGATTTTTAAGCACTTTTTTGTTATGACCTCTCACATGAAAACATACACCAATGGGTAGCTGTTCCTATGGCTAAAAGCTGTTTGCTTGCTGTTTGTCATGCGTTCAAGATCGATAGGAATGCCATTTGAATGGCTGGGGTTATCTGTTCAGAAAAATATTCAGCCGTTCGAACAACTACTGCTATCTGTTCAAAAAAAAATTTCATCTGTTAGGACGGCAGAGGTTTTCAATTCAGAATGCAAAACTAGTCAGCCTTTTGAAAAGCAGAGGTTTTCTGTACGGCAAAGGCAATCCGATCAGATTCAGTTTTTCGTGGCGCTTTAGGTTTGTTTGACTGTCCCACCCTTGTCACAGAGCACCTCTCTTTGTTGGCATATATTTCAAAGGTACATGTATTGCTCTACAGAGGTCAAGATATTTGTCATTTCTTTCACTTTCACTGCACAAGAATCGATGAACAAGATGCCAAAACAAAACTTTACGCTAGACACTATGGGACTCTGGGACATCAAAACACCCACTTTGCAGTGTGCTTCATTGCCATCAAGCGGTAAATGTAACCTTGAGCATGAACCCAGTATCTAATTTAGAACCAACCGATAAAAGTTACTTTTACAAAAGGTGTAATAATTATGTACCAACAAAAAAGCCGAAGGCCTTATCAGTTTCTGTATCTGTATTAGGGTATCTGGAAAACCTGAATAGCAAGTAGCGAATAGTTGCGAATAGTGAATGGTTGCAAATAGCCAATAATCAAACTTGTCCCTGGAATCTGGATATGTGCCTCCTTCACTAAAAACCGCCGTCTTACTGCCACTACTCAAGAAACCATCCTTGGACCACGAAATCCTTAA